ATATTGTTAACCCTCGCGCGCATGCCGCAGCGAGTGTTTACAGTACTTGGGTCTGTGTGTCTGTGTGTCTGTTACTCTCAATCTCACTTCTCGGGTGTTTGTTCGTCTCACAAAGGATACCACCTACTGAACGGGCAATGAAGGTCAGAAATTTCGAACGGTTTTCTCTGAAAACGCTCCGTTGCAAAGCTAGAGCGCGAAAAAGCCAATATGCAAATACTCAACGGCTTACTACGGCATGATCGACCCGCGTGCTCTGCGTACCTCGGAGTCACCAGAAGATGCAACGCAGGGCGTGTATCGCCTCTCGCATGCTATCTAGTAGTGTAGTTAGACCGCGTCAGACTCTGCGTGAGCTGGCAAGAGACCACGCGTAACAGCTAAAGCTAAACCCAGCCCATCAATTAGTGGTACGGCGCATGCGTTTACTTACGATTCTGCGTCACAGTTCGCCGAGGGTTTGCACTTCAGTGCTTTTCATTTCATCAATTGGCTGCTCCCAACAATAATTTTTGGTGCACGGAGCTTTCTTGAAACACTCAGTCATAGTCATTCAACAAGCATTGTGATTTTGATACTTTTTGCTATAATGTCTGGAAGTAAATTTGCCAGAGGTTAGCTAAACATTCATCTTTGCTATCACACCACAAACCTGTAAAGTCAACCCCCTATTATAATGGATATTTTTTTGTTCTTTTGCAGCTCTGAAGACATGTATCTACAGTAATACACCAGAAACTGATGGTGGTAGTACTTCCACAGCGCCGTTTACTCGGCCAATGGAGGGGTTCACCCACGAGGCAGATGATTCCCCTGTACCCAGAGAACTGAGGCTTGTCGCCATGCACCTGCCAGACTGGGAAGACATTGGAAGAGATCTCGACTTGGACCAAGCCACGCTGGACCAGTGCAAGAAATCAAACAGGTTCAGAAGAGTGGTAGCTAAAGTAGCAAGCATAGCCTTTTGCATAGGATAGGTAATGTGTATATACATATATGTTGGGAAAAGGTATAGTGGTTAGGAAAGCACCGACTGTAGCTCACAAGCAGCCAGTTGCCTACATTCTTTAGGTTGGTACAGACTGTACGGTGAATATTTAATGGGCAAGATGCCTCTAAGCACTTTTGAAGCTACGATATGGTGGGGAAAAAATTTTCAGGCATATACCCCCTTACCTAAGGGCCACCGTAATAAAATAATGTGCAAGTACTTTTGTAATGCACGTCTTTATGCAGGACCACATTTGAAATGGCACACCAAATGTTAATGAAATGGAAAGAAAGGGTAGAAGGAGAAAATGAAAAAATGTCCAGAACACATCTGATCAAAGTATTGATGAGACGAAAATGTATTAGCGCTGCTGCATTTCTGAAGTTTGGTGAGACTGATCATTATTGGAAATAGGCTGCATTATAATTATATACTATTCTTAGGGTTTATAATTTATTGTATTAGGAAAATATTACACATGCAGGCATAATTATTGGAATCATTGCAATTTAGTATGCATAGTTCTTGCACAAGTACTTCATTGACCCTCAGCGTGCATGTGCAGCGACGGTTATATACGGTTTGTCCGGTCTGTCTGTCATTCTGTCTGTAATTGCCACGTTTTCTCCCACCACGACCAACGAGACAACAAAAGCACTTTCAGCGCTACACTGGCTTGATTATAAATATTGGAAAAAATATTCTGCGTTCGCGAGTTATAGCGTGAAAATGTAGACCTCGACCAGATTTACTTCCTTTTCGTACCTTGGAGGACCCATAAATTACAATCAAGGGCGAGTATGGAGTCCCGCGTGCTATCTACTAGTGCAGCTAATTTTTTGGTAATGTAGCCTAATTTTTCGTTGATAGGGTTGTTCTGCACTCTACAGCTATATTCAAGGTATTCAAGATTGATAGCCTTTCCTTCCATTCATGTACTCTCCAAAGGTTTAGGCCACCTTACCAGCATACCTTAAGGTTACTATTAATTGCGGGTACTAATTTTAGCGAATTTAGCGGGAATCAGCAAAACCGCTAAATTATATGCACGCTAATAATGAAAATTCGCTTAAATAGAACAAAAATGTTAGACATCATCGGAAGAGCCTGAGTCATCTTCATTGCCCTCTTTCTACTGGCGCGTGGTTACCTCGAATCAGCGTCTAACTATTTTAGAGTGAGCGCTTCACATTCAGCGCTCAGGCTTTCCTGTTCGTTCGTATGGCGGAGCGCTTCTTACGATAACTTGATGGAGACAGGCTCAGAGCGCCGGAAAATGCAGTGCAAGAAGAGCGAAGCGGCAGAGACTGAGCAGAGACACGCTGGAGCGACTCCGCCTTCCTTTTTCTGGTTGTGCGAGTGACGGTGCGCGCAGGGGGGTCTGCGCGTGCGTATGGATGACGCGTCAATGTAGATTTAGTTGTTGATCTTGTTGTTTACATGTACGTTGTGCCCCGGGGGTAGCGCCCTCGCTGCGCTGGGGGCGCCACAATGCCGGGGCTCTCGGTTTTCTTCTGCGCGTAGTTACCTCGAATCAGCGTCTAACTTTTATTCAGTAATCCACTTGTACTCTCATGGTTTCTTAATACCAGGTGAGATGTGTATTGATTAGAGGAAGAGGGATACGTATTTAATGCCTGAATTAGGTAATTTGACATCTTTGATTTGTGCAACTTCAGACTAAAACACATAGGCATTGGGCTTGCTTGCTAGTCACTGGGTGAGATCATTATCAATTGTTATCATCATACATTATTGTACATACACTTATTGTTATTACATTATGGAGACACAAATCGCTAAAATTAGTATACGCCAAACACTCAGTGCAAAAACGCTAAAATTAAACTTTAAGGTATTACATATACACAAAATTTAGGCTGTCCCATTTTCAACAGTAACTATTATTGAGGATGGATTGCACTGCACTCTCCAGCTATAATGAAGGTATTCAGGATGGTTTGATAGCCTGTCCTTCCATTCATGTACTCACTAAAAGTACGAGCAATTTACGCCATCATATCAGCATTATTATACGTACAAAATCTAGGCCACCCCATTTTAACTAATATAAGGATGGATTGCACTGCACTCGACAGGTATAGTGAAGGTATTCAGGATGGCTTGATAGCCTGTCGTCCCATTTGCGTACTCATTAAAAGTACGAAAAATTTAGGCCACCTTATCTAGGCCATCCCATTTTTAACAGGAACAAGCATGCATGTGGGAATTTTCAGGGCCTCAGGCAGTCTCTTTGATGTATAAAATATACACAGCTAGAACCACAAGGTAAGACAATAATTATGTGTTAATATATCCACATTCTAAACTCTTAGCTGCAGAAGTCCACCCCATCTTGTGTAATGCTTCAGATATTCTCTTTCTTGATTCCTTCTCTGTTGAGAAGACCTGCAGTACTCTCCTGCAGCGTTCCCTGTCACTGGTGCAGGCAAACTGAGCAATCTCTTGTACTTTATCCCCAGCCAGACCTAGCTCTGTGGCTAGCAGTCTCCACGGAATGGCACAGTTACAGAGTATCTCCATCTCCACAGCTGACAGGGCTTCTTTGTTGGGATCTTGTGGCACTTCTTTTATGGAAGCGTTGAACACTGTTAAAAGAGTGTTGATATAGTACCACATTTCTGACAAGTGAGTAGACTCTAAGTGATTTTTTGCATGCGCATTGTTTTGCCAACTATCACGCATTGCATTTAGGCCTATTCGTGCATGCAGAGGGAAGGGAAGCGCGAAGCGAAGCACGACTAGCGAGACGTCGTGTACGAGATAGAAGCTACCAGGCAAGGCGAATTGCTGCCGAGTCCAGCGAGGAGAGAGAGGGCATTGCGAATGATCAATGCACCTGAGTAGGGCTAGGCTATGCAGAGAGTATATCTGGCAGCAACTATCCCGTACACCACCATGCACTTGCTTTGCTATCACAGTTAGCAGTGAACTAAGCATACAGGGCAGGTCTCTCTGTTAAGCTGCCTCATACTTCACGCGTCTCACCTCCTCATTCACTAACTCGATGACAGTCGAAGGTAGCATAATAATAATATCTATCGCCTATAAACCTAATATCAGGTAGTTTGGCATTATAATATTACTTGCAAGTAGTGTTTGAGAGCCACCTCTCTGAAGAAAAACAGAAGACATGCTTACTTTTCGCATCCAGTTTGATGGCAGCTTTGTAGCAGCCCATTTTGAGGAGGATCCTAGCCAGTGTTTCTCGTCTGTTGCTGGGATGCTGTTTCTGCCAGTCGGTGAGGAGTGTCACTATTGTCTCCTCACAGACTGAGGTGTAGCTGGTTCTCCCTGGACCCAGTGTGGTGGATATTGCCCCATAGACCTCCACTGGAATCAGTTTAACAATTTGGAATAGCTCTTTCTGTGCCACAATTCCTGCAGTGGTGTAGACGATGTGGGTACATAGGTACTTCCATCATAGCCTTTCACTTACTTGCTTCGTAGCACTTTTCACCAGCGGTTGCACCTTGAAACTCCTAATGGAAAAAATAAAGTCATGATAGAGCAACACTCTCTAAACAAGCCTGTCTGACTCTCTTACGTCATGGAGAGTTACTATAGGTGGTTTCCACATGTGGTCTAAGCCTACAACTTACCCTATCACTGAGTGTCATCCATCGCTTTTGTCCATCAGACAATTGAATCATCTTCCCGCAACCCTGTGTGTAAGTCTCGTCGTCAAACGTTCGTTCTCCGCAGTCCCTGCAGTACAGTTCATTCTCAGAGTCTGTCGGTAGGAAATGAAGGTAGGAGGTAATGTTATTGTTTGGTGCTGGGTCAGTCTCCTTAATGTTAAGTACAAGACAATCTGTACAGAGTAGTCCGAGCTGGTAATTGAATCCAGGGAAATACTTTAGCATGGAATCCAGCATTTCAACACATGTGGCTTTGATAATAGACTTGGTTTTTGTTTCTAGCTTGCTATTCTCGTATCCCTCCACTACCAACTCAACCACATCTCCGTGGACAATGATCCGAAAAGACCCACCGTTTGGAAGTTCAAACTCGGTTAGATTATAATACTCTTTGGTATGTTTCAGCTTTATTCCAGGCATCACTGGCTTGATGTTTTTGACGAATTGGACTTGAAAGTCTCCGGGCATATACTGGCCATTGAATGTTATGTAAAGAGAGTCTTTCTTCATCCCTTCCTTTCTTTCAAATCGCCCCGTACGAAGTGTTGATACAAAGAGTAGCTCAGTTTCCTCACAACCATCATAGGGGCACGTGATCCCATACTTAGATTCGGGTAGATTAACTGCAACAGCAGCTTTTTGCATTAACTCCCAGAAGAAATCTTTGTCATCCTTCCATATCTCCTCCGCAACTTTTGCACATAGTATTCCGACACTCACTGTTCTTGGGTAATGGTCGTCTTCTCCGTTCCTTTTTTCTGGGTCATAGAGGGCGTTTAATTTTTGAAAGAAAACTTGGGGGTTGTAAATCACGTTATCGCCAAAGAACTTGGTGTCGTACATGAGGCTTCCACATTGCGTGAAAAACTTGAGGGCTTTTTCAATGTCTTCCTTTGTTTTCAGTCCACACTCGCATGCCAGTTTATAGAAATCTTCCCATCGCATTCTGAAATCTGAATCTGGGTACGTGTAGTGCGTGAGGGCACTGCGCAGGAATATCCACGTCAGGTGTAAATCATGGTGAAAGGCTGGGGTAGAATCTATGACTTCCTCTATGTGTCTCTTGAGTTTTTCGACATCGTTTTGATCGTGGAGATTAACAACCAACATACTCTGACTCCATTGACTCACCGGCACACATATCCCCCATCTTAGCTCTGATGCCTGCCTCCGTTAGCATTTTCATCCTATGGGCATCCTCTTCATTTAGTTTGTCCCTGTGTGTTCCAATCAAAATGCTCCTGCCTGGTTGTTTACAAAAACCACCAATGTGGGTACAGTAGTGTCCACGAGATCTTCCGTTCATTACGTGTTGAGCTTTGTGGACATCTGTCAATTTGGGCAGATGTCTGAGGCTTTCATGCCCATCTCTATGAAGGTTCAACATATTCAGCAACACAAAGGGTTGCATTAGACGGGAAATGAGAGGGAGAGACTCGTTGAGAGCCTTACTAACCCCAATGTCAAACAAGTTCAAGAGAACGTAGTTGGGCTCTGTCATCACGTGGAATCGGAAATCAGATTCGCTTTCGGCAAACTTTAACAGCCCGTTGTGCATATCGCAGTACACTTTTTGAAAGTGGTTATATAGCTGCTTATCTGTAATCAACTTTGGTGGGAGGGTATTTCCAGACCATTGCTTCAAAATCGGCAGTGCCTGGCCATTATCCGTTAGAGCACGAGTAAGCATGAACATATGGATGTCATCTCGAGTGAATTCGCCCCACTCTGGAGTTAACTTGTCTCTTCGCGACGTCGAGCAGTAACCCACTTCATACATTCCAAGTGCCGGAACAACGCGCTGACTGTTGATTTTAGGCACTAGTTTATCGACGACAGTCGACTTCCCTGAGCCGGGCAGCCCTCCAACTGCCACCAGTGTAACTTTGAACCGAGTCTTGATGTTTCCTTTTACAATGATGTTCAGTACCTCTTCAGGGCTGTATTCACGTGTTGGTAGCACTGTAGGTGAGAAACAATATCACAATCATACATACTACACCATACATAGCAGTGGTGATATACCATAATGCCAGCCTGTTGAAAATTTAATTAAGCAAAGACTTTTCGTAATCAGAATACCGAGGCTAAGGCCATGTTATTATAGCAGTAGCATGCAGTCAATGCGTATGACATGCTAATGGTCCAGAGCAAACATAGGCACACTTACACAGGGTAGTCGCATCACAAGAACTGTATAATATAGCCAATGTTTTGCTGGCCTTTAGCTGCGAAAACTACCCAACCCTAGCACTGTGCACAAAGGATAGTTGAAGCACAGTGATCAAAGCAGTGGTATAGGGTCCCACTGAGCATGAATGCCAGGACTCTGCATTTGTTATGCACACAATGATTACAGCAGCAATAATTATTATAATCATTATTATTACTCTATGTGGGACACACAGCAGTGCATTATGACTGGGTAAGGACACCTGAATATAAACCACGGGATAAAGTTTAGTTTGTCCCCCACCCAATCACATCAAACACTTCCTCTGGGTTGTAGGTGTGTGTAGGCATTCTCTGAACTGAAATTGATGAAGCAAATGTATAAATATAACATGTAACATGCATGAGCAAGGAGGCAAGTAAGGATATAGTCTTAATCCCAGGCTCTTTTGTGGGGGAGGGGAAAGAGCTTGGTATCATGTACTATTCTGTGCATGCCTCACGTGCATCCAAGGCGCATGTACATCGGATCATGAACTGCTTAACTCATGAGACATGTACTAAAATAACTGTCATACCATCGTTTTAGTTTAGGTTGCCCAAATCGTTTGGTTAGGCCCAGATGGTTACAAAAAGTACACCTACCTGGCTTGGAGAGAGAACCTAAGGCCATGATAATACCCTTGAAGGATGCTTCCACAACTGTGCTCCTAATACCAGCCATCAATTGTTCTAATCAGAGACATAAAAACAGGCAACACGATCTGAAAAAAAGGACCCTTGCCTTAATAAACACACCATATTCTTACCTATCCGCATTAATGAAGACCTGTGTTTTATCCACAAAAAACATACCATATAGTCGGAAATTTTCGCGTGGCGTTGAATTGATATGACGTCACTGCTGGAAAAGCGCACGCGCGGGGGCGGGGCTAAGAAGCCAGCAGCTGAATCGAGATCGCGATGGCTCTTTTTCGCTATTTTCAACCTGCAGCAGACTCCCCCTGCAGCAGACGTGCGCACTACTAAAATTTGGGCGTGGTCTTACGTTGGGCGCGTGCGCGAAATAAAAAAACGCGCAAATATCTGCTGGAGGTTCCACGGACGACCCCGCGAAAATATGCACCCGCGAAAATTTCCCGCTATACGGTACATAATTATGTACCAATTCCAACTCATTGAATAGCTGCACTACTGTGCACTATATATTGATTTAGCCGCTAGAGAGACAAACATGCATTAATACAGGTTGATGAACCAAGAATTACAGAATTACCAACTATCGGTACATTCTCCGCTTTCTTCTGCATTTGCTGTTCTTCATCTGTGTGAAAGATTTTTTATCAACTATTGAAATGAACTTGATGCAATTTTTTTACCATTAATAGAACTCCCTGCTACCATTGCTCCTTGCACATCCTGGCAGCAGAGGGTGTTTCTAATCCTATCTCCTACAGCTGGTTTGTCTACGGCAGGAGAGGAGAGAGCATCCACCATTCTCTGCCAGGTGGGAGGAGAGGGAACTTCTTTGGTAAGACGTATAATTTCTGCTTTTAATTCTATTCCATCACTGACAAAGGTAGGTGATCCTACAAAACAAATGAAAAGTACTGAAGTGAAAACCCTCGGCGCATTGTGACGCGCACGCGTAAGTAAACGCATGTGCCGTACCACTAATTGATGTGCTGGGTTTAGTTTTTGTTGTTACCGTATGGCGCGCCGTTTGTGTCAAAACAAATGTTTCCAGTAAGCATCTCGAACACGAGGCGACGAAACTTTTTTTCGAGGGGGAGATTCTTTTTCAAGACGACGAATCTTTTTTCAAGGCGACGATTCCTCTTTCGTGGCGACGAATTTCTACGGCTACGATTGTTTATCAAGCGACGAAAGCTTCTCAAGGGACATAGCCTTTGATTTAGGGCGACGACCAGTTGTGAGTTGTGCGGCACGTAACTTTCCTACTGCGACGACATTTCGTGATCCAGGTGGGAGAGTTCAAAGGTGAACTTACTCGAGACCTAGGCGGGACTTTGGAAGGCACTATACTTATACACATTGGCTGCAGGGGCCACTCTGCTTTCTCTAGGAATGTTGACCTTTCAACTCTCCCACTGAAATCGTCGCAGTGATCTCCTTAGCTGGTCGCTGCCTCAATGAATCCAAGACTTATCTATCACCTTGTGACAGAATTCTGTCGCTTATAAAGAATCGTCGCCGTAGAAATTCGTCGCCGCGAAAAAGAGATACGTCGCCACGAAAGAAGAATCGTCGACGCAATTACGATTCGTAGCCAAGAAGACGATTCGTCGCCACGATTACAGAGGTTTACGGGGAAAATCGCTTTGACACAAACGACGCGGCATAGGTTACTCGTGGCCTCTTACCAGCCCGCGCAGAGTCTGACGCGGGCTAACTACACTACTAGATAGCATGCGAGAGGCGATACACGCCCTGCGTTGCATCTTCTGGTGCCTCCGACGCAGAGCACGACCGCTGTAAGCCATCCCGTCAGTTGCGTATTTGCATATAAGCTTTTTCGCGCTCTAGCTTTGCAACGGAGCATTTTCATACACGTATAATATAAGGTAGATGTTGGTATTTTGAGCCACCTAAACTTTCTTCTTAATTTTTCCTCCAAATACTGGTGAATTAAAGTGAAATTGATGTTACATGACTATCAAGACATGGCAATCCTAAAAATCAAATCGGTTTCAGAATATATTCATAGTAGGTAATGCAAAATATTTGTGTTATAACCCTCTAAAAGCAGCAATTACGAGTCAGTGATGGTATTATGAGTCGACTTAAAACGTATTCTTTGATGAAGCAAACAGTTGCCCAGTCATGTTTCACAATAATTACTTAGATATACAAATAAGCAAAAAACCACGAATTAATCATAATTTGACCAAAACATTCATTTAAAACCTCCCCCAAATTAAACCCTTTGAGTCAGTGATGCAATCATTGTGACCTCTTGACTTTTGGCTATTTTGTCGCAAGAGTAACCCGCAGCACGTGTTAAAATGTGGCGACGATTTGCTGGGCTAACGTCCTTACGGTAGAAGCAGTTACACAGTGTTTGGCAGTTTTTTTGGAATATTCATATACCCATAATACCCCCTGACTCATAATACCAACACTTACCTTCCACGCCCTGCGTTGCATCTTGTTGTGCCTCCGAGGTACGCAGAGGACGCGGATCGATCGGACCTTGGTAAGCCATCCCGTCCATTGTATATATTTGCATATTGGCTTTTTCGCGCTCAACGGAGCAGTTTCAGAGAAAACAGTTCGAAATTTCTGACCTTCATTGCCCGTTAAGTAGGTCATGTCCTTTGCGAGACGAACAAACGCTCGAGAAGTGAGATGTACTCCATTGCTGTCAACCTCCCAGTAAAAAAGGAAGGACTACGCTTCCAAAAACTATTAGCCCTCGGCGCGCATGCGCAGCAAGGGTACTGTAGTTGGAAGTCTGTCTGTCTGTGTGTCTGTTACTCAACATCTCACTTTTCCAATGTTCGTTCGTCTCACAAACGATACGACTTACTTAGCGGGCAATGAAGGTCAAACTATTTGTGGGGTTTTCTCTGGAAATGCTTCGTTGCAAAGCTAGAGCGCTCCCAGAATTGTACGGCTAATGCGTAGTCGGCCATTTTATCGCTGCGGAAAATGCGCACGCGCTTATATTTAGCACAGGCTAGCTTACCTCGACCGGGTCCGCTTGCTCTGTGTATCTTGAAGGCACAAGAAGTCACACGAATGGCGTGTATCGACTCTCGCATGCTATCTACTACTGTAGATATTCCATGTCAGACTCTCTGCAAGCTACTAGCGGGAGACCACGAGTAAACGCATACTAATACATTAGTTCCAAAGTTCCAAAGTTCCAAAGTTCATGTTATGAGCCCAAGAGGGATACAACGATTATGCATACAGAAAAATATAACATATATAAATGACGTGAACATGAGAAGAGATTAGAGAGAATTGGAGAGGGTAGTGGCAATCGTGAGGATGTTTTCGTGAAAACCTCCTTCAATGGTTTCCAGAACTCCCGCAACAGATATGTCACTGTTGCAGTGGTCTGAGTTCACGTGCTCGAAGTACGAAGTGCTCTGTGTGTCTGTTACTCTCAATCTCACTTCTCGAATGTCTGTTAGTCTCACAAACGATACCATCTACCCAACGGGCGACGAAGGTCAAAAGGTATGTTGGGTTTTCTCTGAAAATGCTCCGTTGCAGAGCTAGAGCGCTTCCACCGTTGTACGGCTAATGCTATATAGTCGGCCATTTTTATCGCTGCGGAAAATGCGCATGCGCTTTTATTTTGAACGGGCTCGGGTCCGCTTGCTCTGTGTATCTTGAAGGCCCGAGAAGTCACAACGAAGGGCGTGTATCGACTCCCACATGCTATCTACCATACTGTAGCTAGCCCGTGTCAGACGCTACTAGCGGGAGACCACGAGTATACTACATACTAATAGCAGCCCAGCCCATCAATTAGCGGTAACACGCATGCCCAGTTCGCCGAGGGTTTGCACTTTAGTGCTTTTCATTACCCTCGGCGCGCATGCGCAGCGAGGGTACTGTAGTTGGGTGTGTGTGTCTGTTGAAACGATACCATCTATCCAACGGGCGATGAAGATCAGAAAATTTGTGGGGTTTTCTCCGAAAATGCTCCGTTGCAAAGCTAGAGCGCTTCCAGCATTGTATGGCATGCCCGGTAGTCGCCATTTTATCGCTGCGGATAATGCGCATGTGCTATATTTAGTACAGGCTTACCTCGAC